ATTGCACATCTCTTCCCTCTCTTATTCCCACTCTTATATTTAACAGCGATCACTTTTCAGTTAAGTTTCAGCATGTAAGAATAATTGTGTATTGATTACAGTATTCAACCAAAAGTATTAAGTAGAACAAACAAAAAAATACTAAGAGGGATAACATATCAAGTTGCTCATCAACAGTCAGGGTGAGGGCTGATCAAGTCACCATTTCTCCTAGTGTTCATTTCACTTTAACAGGTTTCCTTTTTGGTGCTCAGTTAGTTGTCACCTACCAAGGAGAACAAGTAGTATTTGTCCCTTTGGGATTGGCTTATTTCACTCAACATAATGTTTTCCAAATTCCTAACAGGGATCACTTTTCAGTTAAAATTTAAACACCTAAGAACAATTGTGTGTTAATTAGAGTTCAACCAATGGTACTAGAACAAAAACAAAATACTAAAATGGATAAAGTATTACATTGTACATCAACAGTCAGGACAAGAGCTGATCAAGTCACTGTTTCTCACAGTGTCCATTTCACTTCAAGTTTCCCCTTTGGTGCTCAGATAGTTGTCGCCGATCAGGGAGAACATATGATATTTGTCCCTTTGGGACTGGCTTAATTCACTCAGCATGATGTTTTCCAAATTCCTCCATCTTGTTGTAAATGACTGGGTTTCGTTGTTTTTGATTGCTGTATAATATTCAATAGAGTTCATGTCCCATAATTTCTTTATCCAGTCTACTGTTGATGGGCATTTGGGTTGGTTCCAGGTCTTAGCTATTGTGAATTGAGCTGCAATAAACATTAATGTGCAGACTGCTTTTTTGTTTGCCAATTTAATTTCCTTTGGGTAAATTCCAAGGAGTGGGATGGCTGGGTCGAATGGTAGGGTTATATTCAGGTTTCTGAGGAATCTCCAGACTGACTTCCATAGTGGCTTAACCAGTTTGCATTCCCACCAACAGTGGGTTAGTGTCCCTTTTTCCCCACATCCTCTCCAGCATCTATTGTTGGTAGATTACTGTACGTGAGCCATTCTAACTGGGGTGAGGTGGAACCTCATTGTGGTTTTGATTTGCATTTCCCTGATTGCTAGTGATCTTGAACATTTTTTCATGTGTCTGTTGTCCATTTGGATTTCCTCTTTTGAAAAATGTCTATTGAGGTCCTTGGCCCATCTCTTAACTGGGTTGTTTGTTTTGATGTTTTGGAATTTCTTGATTTCTTTGTAGATTCTGGTTATCAACCCTTTATCAGTTGCATAGTTTGCAAATATTTTTTCCCATTCTGTCGGTTGTCTCTTCACTCTCCTGACTGTTTCTTTTGCAGTACAGAAACTTCTCAATTTGATGCAATCCCAAATGTTAATTTTGGCTTTGACTGCCTGTGCTTCTGGGGTGTTTTCCAAGAAGTCATTGCCGGTACCTATATCTTGCAGGGTTTTTCCAATGCTCTCTAATAATTTGATGGTGTCAGGTCATAGGTTTAAGTCTTTAATCCATGTTGAGTGGATTTTTGTGTAAGGTGAAAGGTAGGGGTCTTGCTTCATGATTCTGCATGTGGACCTCGAATAGCTAAAGCAATCTTGTACAACAAAAACAAAGCTGGAGGCATCACAATACCAGATTTCAGGACATACTACAGGGCAGTTGTAATCAAAACAGCATGGTACTGGTACAGAAACAGATGGATAGACCAATGGAACAGAATTGAAACACAAGAAATCAATTCAAAAATCTACAGCCAACTCATATTTGATCAAGGATCCAAAACCAATCCCTGCAGTAAGGACAGTCTATTCAATAAATGGTGCTGGGAAAATTGGATTTCCCCTGCACTTCTTTAATAAATGACAAAGAAATGCAACCCCTCACACCCAGTGCCAAGATAACCATTTCAATTGTGTAAGTCAATTTTTCACAAGTATCTTTTTACTATCAGGAAGCTGAAGCACTGGGAATCCTATCATTGGAACAGAAATCGGGTAGAGGAAGGGTAAAGGTAGTGTCTATGGCTGCTACAGGGTTTAATGCCATTTCTGTAAAATGTTTGGAACGATGACCTCCAGTAAATGCTGTAATCTTGTATGCTCATGTCAGCAGACAAGGGAATGTTTTGCCACACTCTTGGAATCTGAGACTTGGGTCTTGCTTTAACTCAGCCAGTGCCACTTCTGGGCTTAGGCATCTGAGACTTATCAACTTCTGCTGTTGCTCTCTTGCTACCCTGAAGGATCATATAAAGAATTCTGAGCTGGGGCAGGCATTTGGCATGGCACTTAAGCCGCTGCTTGTGACACCCGCATCCCATATTAGAGTGCATGGGTCAAGTCTCATCTAGGCTGCTGATTGTAGCTTCCTGCAAGGTGCACTCTGGGAGAGAGCAGGTGATGGTCAAGTACTTGGGTTCCTATCACCCACATGGGAAATCGCAATTGTTTTCCCACCTCCTGGGTTCAGCGTCTCTCAGCCCCAGCTATTGTGGGCATTTGGGGAGAGAACTAGCAGATGAAAGACCTCTCCCCACCCCTTTAAGATAAAATGAAAATAAGTAAATTAAAACTTTTTCTGAAAGAAGAGTTCTGAGTCTGAGAAAATCCATGTCCCCTGAGAAGAATGAACACCTCAGACCATCACAAAGAATCCAGTCTTGTGTATGGAGTCATTGTGGCCCTCCTAGCCCCCAGACACCAGCCTAGTACAGCCTTCTAAAACCCAACAGACCCGACACAGAGTCCCCCCACAGAATTGTGAGCAGTAAAATAATGGTTGTTTAAGACACTAGGTTTTGGGTAGTTTGCTGCACAGCAACATCTAAATGAAATACTCACTGAAATTAAATCATAAGGTTTTCTTCAGATTAAGTTCTTTTGTTGTAATGTCTCATTTTTATTTTTACCTACTTCAAAGGCAAAGTGACAGTGGGGGATTGTGGTGATGGGGAGCGGGAAGAGCAGGAGAGAAATCATCCATCTACTGGTCAAATCCCTTGATGCCCAGAAAAGCCAGGGTTACGTCTGGCTGAAGCCAGGAGCCTGAGTGGCAGGGACCCAAGAACTTGAGCCATAACCTGCTGCCTCTTAGGACATTTCTGCATTAGCAGAAACCTCAATCAGAAGCAGAGTAGCAAGGATTTGAACCGGCACACTGATAAGGGATGCAGGCAATCAAATAGCAGCTTAACCCACTGTGATACAATATCCACCCCACAAGTTACATTTCATAATTGCAGGCAACAATTTAAGCAGAAAACTAGTAGATGGAAGAAAATAAGAGGAAGAGGAAAAGAGAAAGAATATCAAGGTAGAGAACTCTCTGTGAAACAGAACAAAATCCAAAAGAAAGGTTGAAGGTAGAAAGAGTGAATCAAAGCACATGTGACCTCAAGAGAAAATCAGGAAAGATTCAGAGCCCACACAGTGGACATGTGGGTGCTGGGGAGGTGAAGGGGGGACACATTACATTAACAAAGTGCATGGCTTCAGATCCCAATTCTTCCATCATTGGACATTCAGTTTCCTACCTGGTGAAATGAGAGCTCAGGATTAATCTCTTTCAAATTTAATCTTTGTACTAAGCAAGAAAATGAGTTGGAGAGTTTTTATAAACACTCTATCCTGAAAACCATAGTCACTGAGGAGGTGAATGAGACCCTGTAACTCTGAACGATGGGCTTGTTGGTGCAAGAACCCTAATAGCCAACTGTAATAAGAGGGATACTTTTATTTACATAGTATAGAGATGCTTTATTAATAGTGTCCATAGCATTAACAATTTTTCCAAAATTTTTGCCTGAAGTAACATGTGTCTTTATTTTTGTTTGTAACCTCAATAAATTACATCTAATATTTTAAGAAATAATCCATCTAATGTGATATACATACATTAGATTCTTGTACATTTTTAAGTGAAATTCAAAATATCGTTTTCAAAAGTCCCTTTGCAGTTGCTAGAATCTTTGCTGTTAGACATGTCATCACTACTTTCTAGAAAACTGCTAATTTGATTCCATGAAACAAGTGTTAATGTATGTTTTCTCCTAAATTCTGCTCCTAACATGAACATATTTTCAATTCTCATATTTTAAATATACCCTGTGTGTTTCTCTTTGCTACTTAGATTGAACTACCTAAGCACACTAGACTCACCTTACATGTCTGTCTTTAGTGGGCAATTATTTCAGCCTGGAAAACTTTCCCTAACCCTATTTCCTGTGTAGGGTTTCCCTAATCCCACTGTCACTCCTTTTTATCTTGCGATGGTTAGCCTACCACTTACGAAAAAAGCTTTTTCTGACCCGAGTCCAGGAATCTAGGTTCCCCTAGGACATTCCCAATGAATACCACTAGCACAGTGCTTACATGTTGTTTTATAATCGCCTACATTTAAATGTGTTCCACATCAGACTCCAAGTTTCAAGAAGATAGAGCTGGGACCAGGAATGTTCCCTTTTCTATTATGTGTCCAGCAGTTAGCACAGGTATATTTACCTGTAACTATTAAAGAAGTGAGTGATGAATGAATTTATCATATTTGGCATATTGGGTGGGACTGGAACTAGGTAAAACATTAAATTCAGTTGTATTTATTTTGATGTATATATTTGAGTATATTTTATGATTAAGAAAATAAGGAGCAGCATAACAATTTTACCCCACTGTTGAAAGATTTTGAATTTTTTTCTAAATAGAATTTTTAAATGCACCATCTAGCTTAAAAGTGAGAATCATTGAGGAGAGAAAAATAAACACATTAGATTGTATATGTATTTTTTCTGGGAGAAAAATATATTAAAATGTTTCCTTTAGGCACTTTGGATATTTAAGGAATCAAATCAACTATAGAGTATTGCATTTTTCAGTATATGAATTATACAAGTCAGTCAGCAACTTATAAAATGTTGCAAAATGCCCCAGGAGTTGCAAAACAAAAGTTTACAATTCAGAAGCAATAGGATCCAGGGACTTCTTGAATACCAAAACACAGAAAATAGTGAAGGAGACACAGACATCTATTACCTGTCTAGGGTGCAGGCATACATCTTGGTGGCTTTGTCATTCACAAGGTAAGTTCTTTCAAGAAACTCCATGGTGGCCAGGATGAGAGCTGCTGCTGCTGTTTAAATCGCTGCCCAGTTTTGGAAGCAAAGCAGCACCACAATTATTCACACACTTTCTAAAGTAAAAAATAAAAAAGGCTTCCTGCTTGGACTTAAATGCACAAACCTCCTACGCCAATGTTCTTGGTAAGTCTGCTAAAACGATGGCCTCCTTGGAATATCACCTGGCCTCATTCTTTCACCCACAGAAACTGCTCTCCTGGGGAGGCTTACGGGTGGGGTCAAATGAAGTGTGTGTGTGTGATTTAATTGTGCTTTCTAAGAGGTTGAGGAGCTCCAGGGTTTGCTGCTCATTGCTGATGTAGATTTACCTTCACAGCACACCTGGATGAACTGCAAATCACTTCCCCTCTGTGCACTAATTTCATTTTCCTTTTTTTCTTTTGTTACTGGTCTCTTTTCTCTCTCTCTCAACCTAAAAGCATTTCTTACGGGATTTAGTTCTAAGATGACCTCTAAGCAGCTGTCAGGATTTGCTTCTCCTCCCCTAGGACCATTTTGGGATTTCACTACCGAAGGGGAGGACAAGGGTCATTAGTTTACTGAAGTCTGATCTGAGCCAGTTCCTGGTGCGGCAGCTTTGAGACCCGTTGACAGGCAGGAGAAGGGCAGATTCAGCTTCCAAGTAAATAACAGCCTTCAATCACCCAAGAACCAAAGTGAACTGTGTTCCCCTTGACCAGGAAGCACTCTGCTGAGAATAAAGGCGCCTCCCCAAAAAACTCTAGAGCAGCCCTCACAACTCAGGAATAGAGCCCTCTGAGTTGTTCCCCAGAGATCTTCAACTTGTAAACAGCTAAGAAATGGTATTTTACTTCATTATAAAGCACTTTCCTTTCCAAATAACAGAAGTGACTTTATGACCCAATGGCAAGAGCCTGGTTGCACAGCAGGCATTTGCATGAGGCATTCGCATGCAGGAGCAGGTGGATACAGAGTGAGGAAGAGGAGTAAACCACACTGAGTCCTCTTTTCCTTCCCACCCACACCCACCCCCTCCTGTCCACCCCACCCTGCTGCTCACACCAACTTCCTGGTGAGAAAACTCAGTAGTTTAATCTGAGATTAATCCAGTGGCCCAGAGTCATGGGAACTTGCTCATCTTGCTCAGCCGTGATCTCTTATCATGGCCTAATAAAATAAATATTGTTTCTTAGAAGGATAATGGGGTTCAGTGGCAACTGGAGTAGGCAGTGAGGAGGAATGTGACTTTTGGCTAAAAGTAAAAAATGTAAGTCTCCTATTGCATATGTGGTTGGATCTGTACTTAAGATTTGCAACACACTCACTGATAACATAAATTCTAGGGCCTTCTCACATAATCACTTTGCCTGTTCACTTTGCTTGCAGGAAAAGTTGTAGATTTCTGGGTTTGATGTTAGCAGAATAAAATCAAAAGCATTTCATTTTCATGTCCTTACTCTTAACTTTGCGGGATAATTGGAAATTCTGTGGAGGCAAAACTAGGAGACCAGAAAAGAATTAATGATCCACTCATACAACATGGTGCCGTGCTTTAGAGCTGGAATCATGTGTAAGAAATTCTAGTACAGTGAAAGAATTAGTACAAGTGAATGTGTATTGAAAAGCAAGAAACTATTTAAAATAGAACTGAAATCCATTTAGGATAAGTAGAAAGAATAGAAGATCAGCAAAATTCAAATCCAGAAGATAGAGCATTTGACTACCAATATCCATAGGAAAAAGACAATCTGAGGGATCTGCGATTCTGTACTATAAGCTTGGACATGAGCATGGCCATGCATGTACAAATGTATTTCTACCTCCTTATGACCCTGTAAATATGAAGCCTACACACTAGTTTGTAGTGTGGGCTTCCTGTAGGGCAAGGATAGAGTGAGGTAAGATAGGGTAGATATAGGACATGGTAATGTGGAAGTAGGAAAAGAGGGAATGGGGGGAGGGTTTCTATCAAGAGCAGACAAGAAAATACTCCAAAAGAGATCTTCTCTGATCTTCTCTATTTGTAAGTTGAGCAACATAAAACTATCATTTTCATACATTCTATGTGATTTACTAGCAAGTCCATATAGTTTGACTTAAGCATAAGGATACTCCAAAAAGCTTGTAGAAAATGGAATTAACAGGTGTTGATTTTAGAGCATTTTTGAAATCCATGTATAGTTCTTTCCATGGGTATTATTTGTTCTCTTTTTTAAAAATGTATTTTTGAAAGTCAGAATTAGGAGGAGGGAAGGGAATGGGGAGGGGGAGAGGGAGAGGGATTGATTCTATCCACTGATTCACTCCCCAGATCCTTACAATGGGCACTGCTGGGCCAGGCCAAAGCCAGGAGCAGGAGGTTTATAAGGCTCCATGTAGGTGGTAGAGGTCCAAACACTTGAGCCATCTTCTGCTTTTCCAGGCCATTAGCAGGGAGCTAGATTGGAAGTAGAGCAGACAGACCACAAACTGCAACCACATGGGATGCCTGCATCACAGGCGGCAGCTTAACCCATTATGCCATAACCCCAGCCCCAATTTTTTAATTTGAAAAGTAGGGGTAGGGGGAAAGGGAGAAGAGAGTGATACTGCTCCCATTTACTAGTTTGCTCTCCAAAGGCCAATAGCGGAGTCTGAGCCAGGTTGAAGCCAGGAGCTGGAATTCAATCTGGGTTGCCCATGGCAGGGACCTAACTACTTAAGTCAGTAACTCCTGCCTCCCAGGGTCTGCTAGTCAGGAGCCAGAGCCAGGCATTGACTTCGTGTACTCCAATATGGGTTGTGGGCATTTCAACCAGCAACTGAACCACTAGGCTCAATGCCACCTCTCCATGAACTTTAAGAAGACCCCTCCTATATGTATATGCACACATGTATAAATATTTATAAAGTATGTGTGGCCATGCATAATGCATTTTTAAAAAGTAGTCTACATCTTTGAAATATTGGGAAATTAGATACCATTTTCATCAAAAGTTTATGAATTTCTAAGGGCTACTCTTGAAAATGACTACTATAAACCTAAGCTTCTAGTGTGGATAAAGCATAAGAGCAAAGAACAGTGAATTACAGAAAATAAGACTTTTATACTAAAGTATGCTTTGCTGCTATAAATTCAAATGCAAATTATGATCAAGAATTGACTGCAAGTTTCATTATATAAATTATTCATCTGTTGCTTACCTTATCCTCTTACAAACACACTTGGAGTACATCATCACCCCCTCCCAAATACTCATATCTTGTCAGCACAATGTTTATGAAATTCCCATCTCCCTGGCTAACCTTTAGCCTTCTTTGGCATGAACTGACCACCAAAGGCCAACAGCCTTGTTGGAGCTCCACACGAGACGCAAGATATGCATTTGGAAAGCAATCTGGATCAAAAAATTAAATCCTCCCTTGTTGACAGTTGGTTTGGGTTGGCATTATGCTGTGCCTCTGTTTCCTAGGTAACCAGCTTCCAAACCATCCTGAATTACAGGTTGTCCTCTCCACCCACTCAGCATCACAAGCTTATAGCATCCGAAGGGGCAAAATGCAATTTACTACAGTTACCTCTGGGAATAAATATTCTGTCAGCCACAAGAACCTCACTGACATAGTGAAGGAGGGGTTTGGCTCCCCATGCTGACTGTTGTCAACAATAACTTCTTCATAGTATTTTATAAACAGCTCATTTTTACAAAAACAATTTACACAAGTGTTGTAGGTGTTTTTAGTATTTTACTTGCACAAAGTGTTTGTGCATTTTTTGCAAACACGTGATCATTCCTAGACACTAAGGTACCAAGTTCTCACAAGTTTTGCTGCTAACATTTAAACATTTCAGAAATACTGTATATTGCCACTGTTTACCTATAACTAACCTTTAAAAAAAGAGATGCAAAACTGTGCTTTTTATTTAAATAATAAATGTAGACTTTTATCATGCTTGGCTATTTCGTGCTTGTGTGGATCAAAGTGTGGTAAAGTGGTTTAATACATAGAGTTTTAAATTAGATAGACTTTGTTTCAATTTCCGGTTGATCCCTCCTTTAGATGTGTGACCTTGACCAAGTTGCCTGACCTCTGTGTACTTCAATTTCTCATCTATGAAATGGGATCCAATGGAATCCATCTTACAGAGTTCTTGTGATGAGGAAAAAAAGAGTAAAAGTTCTTAGCATAGTTTCTGCCATATAACCAGTTGCTACCTATTTGGCCATATTTAGGTGGGATGTTGCTGGCCTTGAGGAATTGGCCCTGGCTTTAGCAGAAAGCTAAGAATCATCCATGATTGGGGAAAAAAATCTACCAAGGAACTATAGGTTATTGGCAAGAGCAGCTTGGAATTTGAACCTCCTCTCAGCTAATGGCTTTTGGTAGATCTTGCAAACTTTCTGGGCTCAACTTTTTTAAAAATTTTTATTTAAGGTAGACAAAGTTCATGTATTTCACATATGCATATTTAGGAACATAGTGATACTTCACACCCTACCCTCCCTCTCATTCATGCTCCTACCCTTCCTCAACCTCTCTTATTCCCTCTCTTAATTTGTATAATGATCTACTTTCAGTTTTATACTCATAAAATTAATCCTACACTAAATGAGTTCAACAAATAGTATGAAGAAGAAAAAAGTTCAACAGTCGATACCAGGGCTGTAAACAATCATCAAAGCTCAAAATGTCAGTTTCACTCCTTTTACATTACATTTTTGGTGTTCTATTAATTTCCACAGATCAGGGAAAGCACATGTCACTTGTCATTTTGGGACTGGCTTATATCACTAAGTATAATGGCTTCTAGCTGCATCCATTTTGTTGCAAAAGACATTATAGATTCATGCCTGCCTCATTCTACCCTCTTCCCAGTGCAGCGCCATTCAGAATGGGTCCTTAGTACAGAGCTCTGTTTGACAACAGGGAGGAAATTCAAAGTGAACCAGTATAATCGCCTACTAAAGATTGTAGACTTACAATATTCTCACACAGACAATGAAAACATTTCTCTACTGGGCAACATTTCCTTATCACAATGAGTTTTTCAAGAGTTCCATCCGGACACATAAAATCAAAGACATTGAAAATTTAACTGAATTGTATTTTAGGAAACACTATGAAAATCTCATTTTAATCTAAAGTGAGCTTGTATAAAATACAATCCATTTATAATATTTCATGCATTCTTCAAAAATGGACTAAGAGCC